GTTGCTTGGGCACGACTTGGGCAGCATAAGCTCAACAAGTGATTAGAGGCAAGGAAAACGAGGCGAGATCAAGCAAGAGTCAGTTGCGAGCCCGAGGAATGCGTTGCGCCGACCAAGTGAAAAGGCGGAAAACAAAGTTGGATGTTGACGATAGCACGAGATTGATGGAGGGGCGGGCGGGACAAAGCAGATAGCCCAGCACCAGCAGACGAGATTGAGTGCAGTCAGGTGGAGGGGTCCTTCGAGACCAGGGTCTGTCAAGCCTGAGTCTGAGTCTAAGACTGAGCCTCTCCGAAGAGCACGGTTCTTGCGACGGGTTCCAGCTCCTGAGGATCACGTAGCGTAGCGTAGCGTGATGATGGAGGCGCGGGTAGTGGGCGGGAAAGATGGCGTGTGATCCCAAAGAATTAAATTAGGAGGGCTCCAAAAGCGAGATGGAGGGATGAATATTAGTAGAGCGAAAGTCTCTTTGCAAATGACGAGAATGAACTGCACGCGCGCGCTGGCGAAAAGAGTGGGATGTTGTGGAAGAAGAAAAAAATAGACGCGAAAAGGAGGGCGTTTCATTGATTAGAGTGGATGCTACAGATGGAACTACAGCACGAACCCGCTGTAGCGAACGCCCTGAAAGAGGGCAACCACAGCAACAACTGCAACTGACAGGAACAGGATTAGGGACCCGACAATAAAACACGAGATAACGACCCGACAGGAAGCATCGGATCCTATGCAGAGCAACTCACGCCATAGGAAGTTTGGGGGGCTTGTTACCTGAACACCCAAGCAACCATCATAAACACCATCAACAATCAACAGCCAACTCCAGCAAGGAAATGCTCAAAATAGTTCAGAGCCAGTTCAGTCCAGCCCAACCAAAGCAAGCCTCCAGCATCCTGACTGTCTCAGCCTATGAGTGTGTGTGAGCCCGCTGCTGTAGCGACGCCTGGAACAAAATGATTGGACGCTCATTCATTATTAGTAGAAACCCTGATATTGGGTGCTCATGGTGATGACGATGATGCACACCTCAGAACCAACCCTGGAAACTCTGAAGCCGCTCGCCCTGGATGGGTCTGTTGCTAATCAGAACGCTAGTCCAGCCCGGCATTCCTTCAGGTGTTTGCGTACCATTGGCTGAGATATCAACCCAGACAGGGGCACTTATCAATGCAATGCCGCCCAGCAGGATAGGTTGAGTCTTGATTGGAGACTCTTCGCGCCTGTCAAATATTCCTCGTCCATCACTTGTAGAGGAGAGTTGAGATGGTGTCAGGAGTTTGTACCAGGAGTGTCAGAGGTGAAAGGCACAGCATGTTCCCCTTGCCTAGGGTTCGTGGCGCGCTTATTTCATAACTTATGTGTGCTCGTTTCAAAGGGGCTTGACGCTTGTTCAATTTGATGTTGACGATCATTCAACAGCGTAGTAATGCGCCATCGAGATGCATGGCCTCGCGGTTCGATACGGAGAGTAGTGTGTGCGTACCTGAGCTGTGGATGGACGGCTTTTCTTGCATGCTTTCTTGGCGTTCCATGTCAAACGCCCTGATTTGTCTGTGACATGCTTAAGATGTGCCATGCGTATAACGAGGAAAAGAAGGGGCCTCAGAGCGGCAGCGCTCCAATGGATTCCTGAACAAAAAAGGGACGCAGCACTTCACTACAAGGGTTCTTCACCACCCACTTTGGACGACTTCAACCTGTTCGACAGCGGGAACTGCGGGGCCGATAAAGGGAAAGACGAGGGGAGGAAAAGAATATGATGTTTCTGCCTTTTGGTAAGAGTTATGCGCTGTTCAAGTTGCTTTCTGGTCCATCGTCGATGGACAGCAGCCTCTGGTAGCATGGCTTACAGCTGCCGGTCCATGCTCGTGGTCTGCATGAGAAAGGAATCCAATGACCGTGAGATACGTGCTCAGCTCAGAGCTGCTTTGCTTCGACACCCCCAAAAGGAATACAAATTCCATGTTAGTGTGCAATGACAAAACTAGGTTCAGGGCCGTAGATGCCGTGGCCCCTTGCATAAAACTCTCCTTCTGGCTGGCATGTTTGTTTGTTTGATCTATGAACTATCCCGCCATGCCCACGAGTTTATCATGCCGCTACCCGTCATCTGGCTACAGTATCATACCCCACCAAGCAAGATACGGCACGACAGGATAGCTGCCAGGTACAGGCGGGGGCTTGGTTTGCCTATGTACCTATGTATGTATGTCATAAAACGAGATTGATTGTCCCTCCAGTTCAACCTCGCTCGCCTCATATTCATCTTGGGTGGGTTCAGCAAAATGCGCCTTTATTTCAAGAGTGTCTCGTGGTCTGGTTAGCTCACCAAGCTATGCCTCTAATTATCTAGCTGATGGCACAAAGAGGCTAAACCACCGCGACGGTGGGCGCAGAAAGCCAAGATGAGGCTTGTCTCAGGGGGTATCCCTGATCAGCATAACTGCTGTAGTCCACAAGCAGAGTATCATACGAAGCTGAGGAATGGAGACCCAGCCAGGCTACGGGAAGAACATTTGAAAAACATCAAGGGCCGAGACGAAAGGGACGAGTTGTATAAATTTCCTTATCCGCATTCCTTAGTTTTTATCCCGAGAAGTAAGGATAATTAGCTCTTCGAAAGACAAAGTCCTAGACAATCGTGGACGGGCAGGAAGATACCCCCACCTAGAGCTTGGGAAGGTCGTCGCAGAGGATGCGAGATATTGTTTCATCGACCAAGAAAAGCAACTCCCTTCTGCCACAATTTGATAGCCAGTCACACATCACATCCCATCACATCCCATCATCGCAAAAGCTAGGGAGATGCTCACTGGCGTCTCGGACCTGGCTACTGAATGGTCTTATGCAGGCCATAGATACGGTCGATCGTTAGCCAGGAACCAGATTGTGATAATGTCCGTCGCTCTGGTATCACATTTGTGAAGTACCCGGATGTCAGTTCATCTTGACTCTTCATCAACATGCATCTGGTTGTACAGTGCAAGCTTCCCTGATTCAGCAACCTTGGGGATCCATGAAAAAGCTATACGTACATACGTATTCTGTGGTACGGGCGGTATGTCAAGATCTTCCCGGATCAACGACTGGCGAGATTGAAGCCCGCTCTTTATTGTTTGTAAACATGATGTTGTTGGTCCGTGACAAACCTAAGCTACCAGCTACCAGCTACCTACGGAGTACAGAATCATGGGTGGATATTGGTAAGCAGACTGAGGACCTCGATCCTGAATGACAGAAATAGTCAGACGAGTTTAGGGTTATTTAGACTATTTTTATAACCATTTAGGATAAACTTAGGATATTCTTTGCTTAGTTATTTTACGCACCCTCATCAAAGGTCTTAGAAGCTCTTTTGTTTCTTCCTGCAAGCTTCCTAGCGTGGTTAAGTCGATTACGGAGTAGGGTACTCCGTACGTTGAGCTCATTTCCACCACCAAGTCCATACCTACCCCTGGTTGGTTGTCATGTGGTTTGTCTTTAACGAGAACAACAGAAGGCTGTGATGATGAAAACCATTTGACAGCTGACTAAAACTCATATATCTCTTCATGCACCTCTGCGATGGCATAGTATAACTATAGCGCCCCCTTGATCTCCTTGTCTCTGCAGATCTGTCTGTTTCGTCGCGTGTATCAGCTTCATTGGTGAGCGTAAGCCAGGAGGCTTCGGGTACCTGAAAGTAGCCCGCCGCAGAGGTACAGCCTCCGCTAAATTAGCGTTGACCGTTACCTGTGCTGCGCCCATGAGAGGAGTATCTTCATTTACCTTTCTCTCCACCTCATCGAGCTGAGATCACTCTATGCCCCACCATCGACCTTTCATGGAATATCCATCTCACCTCCAGAGTCCGAAGTTATCGATATTGGCTGGATTGGTTCCTGTCTAGACATGGATGATGACTTCTAGGCAGATCTATTGTTAAGGTGCTAGCTAATAAGTATTACAACTGTTGCTGGATTCAAAGCCTGAGGATTCGGCCCAGTCATTCGCTTTACTTAATCTTCATTTCTTCTAGAATTTTGGCTTCCCTTCTATTTCTCCTCATGACACCTTTCTAACCCTACCTCGGCCAATACCAAATACCACTCCTTATCAGACGAAATTTTGTTCCCTTGGATATTTTTGGGGTTTTGTATATCGTTCTACCATACTTAAGCATCGTCCCATCCTATTTGTGCTTCCGCGTCTCTTGCCAACCTCGGTATCATCCCAAAGAAGATCTTTCGACCCATGTCATCCTCGTGCGTGGTACTTCCATATGTGGGATCGCCGCCGAAGACAATCCCCAAGGAGCAACAAGACTTCTGGCCTTAGATCAAGCTGTCAAGAATAACTTGTCCAAAGGTCCACCAAAGTCTATACTACGCTTGCCTAATTCTTTTTGTCGCTCTTAGGTACTAGGAAAGCGGACCTAGGCTTTCTTGCTTCGCCTTGACAGACGCCAGGGGCATCTTCAACAAATTCAATCCAGCTTGTTGCTTTTAGGTCTAGAGATCGAGGAGGCACACGCAATATTTAACTACCTTACCTTATTACTTTCCCTACGGTGATTAAGTATAGGTCTAGTTTGGCAACTCCTGTCACGGTGTCACCTCTTCCTTCCTGCCTTGACCTCCCTCAGCAAATCTCGAGCCATTGGATATTTCCAATATCTTGGTGCATGAGGCCTTGATAAACTCAGCATCTTATCATCAGACAGCTTCAATTACCCAGTACTTTTTCTTGGGACAGTCACCGTCTTTTCGACCCTCGCAGTCCGCGACCGCCTACGATCTATACGAACCGATACCATATGCCCCTTGTTGCAGCCTCCGGCCTGTCTCCAGTCTCCGCCGTCAATCACTGTCGGGGGTTCCATCTCCCCATACAGTCCAACTCAGTCTTGGTTGATAGGTAGACAGACATATACGGTCTACCTTCACCTGCACTGCTTCAGCATCTGCATTTGCATTTGCAGCCATATTGTTGTAATGCCCAGCAAACCGACCAAAGCAACCATGTCCAGCTCCAACTCTCCCACATCTCAAACCTCCAACAGCTACGTCGAGCAGACCGTCTCGGTATTGAGCTCGGTCGCCAGCTACATGCGTCTGCCTGCGTTGGCTTCAACGGTACGTCCACTATACTGCAGCTTGGCTGACAAAATAGTCTTGACTGCTGCCATCCATAACTGCCTATCTAGGGACATTTCTAACGTCAATGCGCATACAATAGGGTCTCGCCGCTGTCCTCACCTCATTACTTTACTTTAAACAGAAGTCCGTATCCCAACACCATCACCATTACCATCACCGCCTCCGTCATCATCTCCCCTTCCAACCTCCTCTTTCTTTGCCTGACCCGCATCATCATCAAGCCGAGCCCCGCTAACCCTGCATGTATTAGGGCTCTCATTTACCCGAGTAACATTCCCGCAAATTCTCGCTCAGACGTCCCCAAGCCTTCCGACTTTGGCATCTCAAATTTCGAAGAACTTTACATCCCGACCGACGATGGCGAGAAGCTCTCAGCCTTCTACATCCGTGGCCCTCGCGGCCACAAGAACTCAAACATCACCATCTTGATGTTTCATGGCAATGCTGGCAACATCGGCCACCGGTTACCCATCGCTCGAATGATCATAAACTACATTGGTTGCAACGTTTTTATGCTCGAGTATAGAGGCTACGGTTCCTCAACAGGCCAGCCTGACGAGTCGGGTCTCAATGTTGACGCGCAGACAGGGCTCAACTATCTGCGGCAGCGGGCCGAGACACGCGATCACAAGCTCATGGTTTACGGTCAGAGTCTGGGCGGTGCTGTCGCTATCAAGCTTGTCTCCAAGAACCAGGAAGCGGGTGATATAGCTGGTCTGATCTTAGAGAACACTTTCCTCTCCATCCGGAAGCTGATCCCTTCCGTTGTGCCCCCTGCCAAATACCTTACCCTGCTATGCCACCAAGTCTGGCCCAGTGAGTCGGTTCTCCCCAACATCACAAAGGTGCCTACGCTCTTCATCAGTGGCTTGCAGGATGAGATTGTTCCGTAAGTTCCTCTACACCCTCTCTTACACTACTATCCCTGGTCCTGTGATGATTAAATTTGCATCACCCACAAAAGTTGAAGTACCCTCGTGGTCTTGATATGAAAGCAAATACTCCCTGATGATCGACATTGCATTCTTCTACTGTAGCATAGCGCAATACAGAACACGAAGCTAATTTATGCCAGGCCAAAACATATGAAACAGTTGTATGACCTCTCCGCCGCACCCACCAAGCGGTGGAAGCCTCTCCCAGGTGGTGATCATAACTCAAGCGTCCTGGAGGAAGGTTATTTTGAAGCCATGTCAGATTTCATCGCCGAGGTAACGGGTGATACACCACAAGAGAAGACACGTTTGTAGAGACTGGGTATATCTCGTTTGATATTCCATTATGCATGCATAGCCTTGGTGAAGGAAAGAAAACGCACGGACAGCATACAGCATCACACTCACGATTGACGACACCTCCTTTTTGTATTACACACCTCTGCGAACACTTTCCTTGCTAGTCCATATTTCCGTACACGTTCAACGCTCACAGATAGTGGACTCGCAAACCCCGAACTAGAAAAGAAACTTGGCATTGATGAAACATTGATAAACTATTTTGAGTTTGTTTGCTTGTGCTTGTGGTGGCCTTGGTGGGGGCATCTTGAGCCTCGTGATCACTTTTGACTTGATGTTCGCGTGATACGAAAAAATAAGTAGTTGGTGTTACATCGATGTCTTAAACTATGTATGCAATCCTTTGGATGCCCTCAGGGAGCAAGAAAATATCAGACTTTGATACAAGGTGTCATAAGAAACCCAATAAAAGGTATCCTAGAAGGTATACTAAAGGTATGCCAAACTTATCCTAAACTTAGAATAAGCTACCTAAATCTTTTTGTCATTTAGGACCGAGTTCCTGAGTTGTCTTTCTTCCTCTAACTAGGGTACAAGAAAGCTTCTGGCATTTGATGAGGGCGATCAAATGGAGGGTGTTGAGCAGGATAATGCTGAGAACCACAGTCCTCAGACGAAAGGTGCCGAGGAGAAATGTATTGATGCAAAGATGACCGATGCTGAGGTGGACAAGGCCTGCTACATGAGCCAAGCTGAATAGGTAGAATGTCGTCGATACTCTTCTCAGTTTGTAGGGATGTTCCAAACTGTTCTCCTGCTAATGCTTGCTCCGCTTCAACCTCCTCTACAGCCAGTTTCATCGCATTCATAGCTATGTTACAGACATGAAAGAAAGCACCATTTCCATAGTAGTTATTTTAATTTTAATCACGACGGATGCCAGTTTGGATTGTCGTTTTATGCAGGCGTCTGTTATCTCGACTAGTGTTAGTGAATCATCCTCCAGTCTCTCGTGTAAGCTGAAGCAAGTCTGGACAATGAAACCTTTGCCACATCAACACAGGAGTGCTACAGCCGTCTAACAACATTTTTGAGTCCGTTGGTCAACTGCCTAGCCACCGATATCTTCAGCCGGACAATGCTATCTCCCTTCTCAGTGGGAACCCACGCCTCCTACATTTAGTGTTTGGCTTCTAAACTTATCAAGCATCGTGAAGGCCATGATCATAACCTCAGCAATCTGATGAAATGTTCTGCTTCTGTCTGCGTTCCATTCCTCGGGTCTCTCAAATATCCACTTTCGTAAAGTCGAGTTGGCTAGCAGGTGACAAATCCTTCTATAAAATGCCATTGATTCCTGTTACGTTAATTTGTCCTCAATGACGCCAACAACGACTGCAAGTTTACTTGACTGGAGGAGTCAACCAAGACTTATAATAATGATCCTAAACAATAAAAACACTTAGGTAGACTAAGTCATAAACATGTAGGCAGATTTAGAATATCTTAGGATAGTTTAGGACAATCTCAGTGGACTCTTTAACGTTTATTCTTACCACCTAATTATGGAGTCTTGCGTCTTCTGACAACTTAAGGGGTGTCTTGCTGATGATTGTCTTGTTACTTGATGACTCTGGCACCAAGTTTGTTCTCAGTCGTGGACCAGAAAGGTCATAGAATTGCTTGTACTCCGCGATCAACATCGACAAGTAAGTGAACCTGGACGCCCTTCCTGTCTGCCCTTGCACGACCCTCACTGATGCCTCTAGCATTCAACGTCACCATCAAGAGCGGCCCACACCTTCCCCCCCTCCGGCTGTTGCGGCCTCTTCTTCTTGAGCCCTAGAAGTAGTTTGCGTCCGGGCTTTGCCTCTTCGGGTGCAGGAGTAGAAGACGAGGACATTGGTCTAGAAGCCGCGCGTCCAGCTACGGCACTCCATCCTCCAGTGCCGGCCCGGAGGGTTACTTCACGCCGAGAAATTGCACCGTTAGCATCTGAGTGACAGAGCAAGACGCTTTCAGCAAGCTTTTCGCGACGGATAGTCTGCTCGATCCGAGGTTTGAGAATTTCGAGGCTCTTCTCCATGGGTGCGGGTGTGAGAAATGCGGAATATGATACTGAAGCTTTGATAAGAACTTCCTCATTCAGAAAATCAACCTTGAACCTGAAGCCTTGCATGGGCGTGAGATCCGGCTCGAGGGCGGCATTGACTTCCTCGATGGTCAAACCGAAGCGAGGCTCTGTAAGTACCAGAGCATTGAAGGGCTCAGTCTCGAGGATTGGTGGGCTTGGAGGTCGAATGGCTGCCGCAGCCGCAGCTTCAGCAGCTTGGGTTGCTCGGATCTTGACACATTGTGCAAGTGTCTTCGTCGGGGCTGAAACAAACTTATCTGATTTCCATACTAGAACAGACCGGTGAATGTCGTAGTCCTCACTCTTACTCTCGAAGCCGAAGTCCTCGGCGAGCAAGTGAAGAAATTGGCGTGACTGGTTCTTCATTGGCTCATATCGTAAACGAACTTCGTCTTTGTTAGCAGCAAAGACTCGGAATTGGCTCTCCTGGGCATCTCCCCATGATGGCATCTGTTTATAGAGCTTTAGAGTATTGTCCGAGAAGGGAATGTGGTCGTTGGTGTGAGAAGCAGGGTCGATATTGAGAGCTGCGGCCAGGCGACGGTTACGGTCAAGTCGTTCGCACTCTTCATCACATCGAATATCTGGTCGACTCGGAGTAGGGTTGCTCGTACTTGCTAGGCACTTAAAACTTTGCTTGTGATTACCACATGCACAGCTGGTGGACATCTTTACCTGACAAGCTGTTGATTCTTTACAGGCTGGTACGTGTGTTAGTAACAAGCTTGTAACTGAGTATTATCGACTTACGAGTTTGCCCATGGCAGACGCTCTGGCATGGGTGATTACATAGCAGCTTGGGCTTTCCGCATATTTGCTCGCAACCGTTTTGAGCGTCTCCGCATTCTCCAGGGCGGTGACATAGCTTTTTACATGTATGGAGCCCGCAAGAGAGTTTTTGCCCGCATTGCTCTCCGCAATGAGCCTCTTGCAAATGACAAGGCTTGTTGTGAAAGGTCGTCTTTCCACAGATGCATTGCTTCTGAACGAGGTATGTGCACGGCGGGCAGGATACATCATCAGGATGGCACTGATGGTCAACAGAAGGATGCCCACATGCAGTCTGCCGCTGGCACTGATTAGTGCAAGATGGCTGTCTCGTTCCGCATGGTTGTGGCGGATGCAAGACTGTCTGGCCGCAATTGCACGAAACTTCTTCCCAGATAGCCTCGGGACAGCTTTGGCAAGCTCCGCGGTGGCAGAGTTGCTCGCAAAAGTGACTGCCACACTTAAGTGGTCGTCCGCAGACGGCGACACAGATATGCTCGGCCTCAACTGGTAGCAAATCAGGGCCCAGGCGTTGCTTCTTCTGCTGAGCAATACGTTGAGATGCCTTCTTTTCGCCGGGGCAACAATGCTCTCCGCATCGATGCCTTCCGCAGTTGCGAGTAGCCTGGCATATCTTGAAACATAGTGGATGTTGGACATTTCCCTCATGGCAGATCGTCTCACCCGTGACTCGGCCACAGCGGCAGTCAATCTCCATCGTTTGGGTGCAAGGGTCGCACTCCCCAGTGTGGCACAAGGATTGGCAGAGATGACCGCATTCCTGCTTCTTCTCGCAAACCCTCTCACAGTGAGGAACATTATTTTCACAGGTTTGACGGGGCTCCTCCATGAGTTCCTTGAGCGGTGTCTTGCCACAGGGGCAATGGGTGACAACGTCCGGAGAGAAAGGGCAATGAGCCGAGACCTCTTCTTGGGAGTGACAAGAAATCTGGCAACGATGTACCCCACAATCGAATGTTCTTCCGCAAGCACTCTCGCAGCTAAAGGAGCCCTCAAACCAGGAACTGCTGGCGAGATCGAACGAATCGCATATGTCTTCCTGTTTGGAACATAGCATCTCCTTTTGCACTCGTCCACAATAGCACTTGGCTTCGACCGGCACCTCGCAGGTACCGCAGACACCTGGATGGCATGTTTGAGGACATTCATGCTGACCACAAGGTAGAAAATCGCCGCAACGCTCTCGACAACTCCACCCGTTGTGGTAATCGGTATCCCTACAGTTCTTTCGCTGAGAGTGCTTTCCACAGTAACAGGGCTCCGGTGGGCTCAATACGGTACAGGGAGGGCATGGGCCAGGATGACATTGAAGAGTGCATGGGTGGGAGCATGTCGATCTGGGCTTGGAACATGTTTGCCCACATGAATGAGGAGGCAAAATGCTGTTCCGACTGGGCTGCGTTTCTTTGCCACACCAACACGAACTATCGCCTGGTCCTTCTATCAACGTTGAATTACACCCAGGGCAACGCCAAGATTTGTCGCCGCTCTCCTCGTTGACTTTCATGGACGTATCCCACCATTGGTGGGCACATTCAAGATGAACAACGGTCCAGCAGGTAGTGCACGACCAGACCTCGGTTTTTCGAGTAACCTCTTCGGTGCAGATACGGCACTCATAGTTCCAATTGGCAATGTCTTCCTGGATCCGTTGCCATAATTCCGAGGCAGTCGACTTGGGAACCTCTTGGCGGGGTCTGTCCTGCTTACGGTTCCTCGTACGGTTTCTTAAGCGTCCTTGGCCTGTGGGCTGAGGGGCGCTTGACGGATGCTGTTGGGCACTATAGTTGTCAGTATATGGTGCATTGCCTTGGGTCTACGATCCTACCTCCTCTGGGATACAGGCTGTCCGGGCACGAATTCTGGGGCATCTGCACTCAATGATGCATCCTGAGCAATCTCTGTCGGTTGTTCGGTTGTAGTCAAGCGTCCGCCAAAAGTGCGCTGCGTTCCCATAGAGAACACGCCTCTGCCTTGGTTTCCTTGCTCTCGAGAACCACCTCGATTACCTCGCCGGTTTCTTCTGCCTCTAGAAGACCCTGAGCTTTCGGGGGCGGCTATGGTTGGTGTAGCAATAGTGGCATCGGCAGGCCCTGTCTGGGGGGCGTTTCCGCGGCCTTCGGGAACCTGTGCTGAATCATCCTGTCGCTGGCCACGATTCCGTCCTCCCCTTCCCCTACGGCGTCCTCCACCTGAGCCTCCCCGAGAACGCGATGCTGAACCCTGGCCCTCACTTTGAGACCGGTTTGGGGCATTATTTCGTGCCTGGTGAGACGTACGGCTGGTCTCTTGCTCGGCCATGATGGTGGAGATCACAGTCGTGAGCTGAGAAGTCGTCGCTGTTGCAAATATTGCGCTATGTAGTATAAAGCGTCTTCAAACTACGAATAAAGAATAGGAAAACAATGACCTTCAAGCAAAGAGCTTGCTGACGGAGGAGAACTTGCAAGGAGAAAATGGGAAAGATTTCCAACTGCTTCTTCACGGGAGCGAGAGTTAGAGGAACAGGAGAAAAGTATCAAGGAAAGGAATCTAGAAACCTTATGATATATTATGCTGTTTGCAATAAATTCTTAGGAGGCGTTGAAAACCGGTGGAGCCCTGTATGCTTCCGTGTGGCGAAGCCACTCTGACAAACATAGACAATCATTGGTTGGTTTTGTAATCCGTCAGAATGAGTCACCAACAGGAACCACCTCTTTTGGAGGTTTAGATCTGCCCATTTTTAATCTCAGCAGCCAGAAAATTGAGTCAACGTAGTGCCTTGGTGGAAAGAAAGAGTCACCGACACTGACATATCAGCCTAATTTTGGTTTCTGCCTGGAAACCCCAGACGT